GACAGACTTCCATGTATGATTCTTATCATCGCATAGTCTCATTTGCATGAGCCATACTTGATCCTCATAATGAATATCAATCAATTGAAAGATTGATCCCAACATCAGGAGTACTTCTTGTTCGTGAGCAAAATAACTGTAATTGGTAATATTAGCAAATGGTTTGACACCATCGAGTCGAGGATCGGCATCAATTGTAATTAAGACACGTTGTGAATCGTCTGAAATATTAGTAGCATTAAGAAAACGAAGTGCTTGTTCTCGCTCGATACTTGTTGAAAGAAATGAGTTCATAGAGATGAAACGTCCAATAGAATCTTTCAATACTTTTAATTCTTCGTTCGACATTAATTGACCTCGATAGACGCGTATAGGCGTCAAACATTTATGTTGTTCAAGTTGTTGTTCGATATCACGAATAAAAAATCGAAAGAGAAAGATCATGTCTGTATTTTGTACACGAAGAGCTTTGTTTAGTAATCGATAAAGAAACGAATCTCTTGTATACCACCATAGAGCTTGATCAGGAGAATAATTTTGTTCAAATTCCTTGACAATTGCTAATTCTTTCTCATTATCTTTGTATTTTTCCTTGCATAAATCGATTAAATCATTCTTGTCCGTTGGATTTGATTTCATTCGAAGAAGAACATCAATCGATACTTCTGAATGAATAAATTTACTATTGAGTTCAGTTGTTGATTTATCTAGAGCACTATTCGGTGTAAAAATACTGACTGCAAGTGGTTCATCAACTTTAAATCTTATGTTCACTTGATCTGATTGAATTTTAGCTAGTATTGCCTCCAAAGTTCTATGAACACCTTTGATCTAAAACAATCAACAGATTATAATGCACCTTTTTTGTTTTTGGCAATTCTATCCTCAGATTTTTTGCTTTCTTTGAAACGTCACTATTTGTTGACGAACATAATATACGACATTCTAACCTACTCATGTAAAAAATCTTGATGAAAAATTGAATTTAAATATATGACTTTAGTAAGATTCAAAACTAGTACAATCTAAATCAAGAAAATTTGAATAAATGATGATTAATTCACGATTGAAGTCAAAAATTACTTTCAGAAAAAAAATGCCGACTAACATAACCGTGATTAATCATCGTTCTCATAATGTTATTTTATGTCATAACATGAAACATGATGAGACAAAAAAATAGAACATCAAATTCTGATCTCATCGAAAGACTCATCAGTAGAGTCAAGATGAAAAGAAAACCCAGATTGATACAAATCAGAAAGTTGATATACCTCAACAAATAAAATAATCGAATAAAAAAATCAAATTCTTTGTCTGCTTTTTCCTCCGCATGGATGAAACACAAAACTAGATTTACTTTTGGAAATTTTTTTGTCCATTCTTCGTTTTGTACTTGATCTTTCGCATATACATAAATTGAATTGACTTGTCTATGTTGATGAATTCGTGGCATTACTTCTGAAGCCAAATGATTAGTGACGATCAAGACTATTTTATCGTCTTTCGACAAAGATTTTATGTACTTCTTACACTTACGAACATCTTGAAAAGTTATTAAATGATGAGTCACTGTGCGAAGTTTTTGTTGAATAATAAGATTTTCTTTGGTGTCCATGATTGAATCGTCGAGCCAGACTAACGATAATGTTTCAAAATTATTATCTTCATGTGTAGATCCAGCAGCTCCCAGTTTAAATTGTAACGTATGTGCCGCTCCCATTTACACGTTCTCCTTATATTGTTGATTTCACCTTCAATGACAGATATATAGCGCAATATATTTTAACGATTTCGAATGTTTCTCCTTTCGTTTGCATTTACTGACATATATTTTTGTTCTTTCTTTTTTTTTTACTGTGGCTCGAAGGTAATTATAGTCAATCATAAAATCATAAATCAACATTTTGAGTGAAAGAAGTATTGAAACATGAAAGTGTTAAGAACAGTTGTCACACAGTGTCATAAAAAAAAGTAGAATGAGAGTGTACTGCTCGAAAAATCTCTTGAAAATGAATGAAGATCATACAGGATTATTCTAGACAAATATTTTTAGAATGATTCTGTCAATTTCGATAGCAACAACTCTTACTGCTCACGAGCTTTTGAATTTATATTTTACTTTTAAATACTAATCAGTAGGGAATTTCAAGAACTTAAACGTCAATAGCCTCAGAGAAAAACTTTATAGTTGCTGTGAACGATGATAAGTCCAATTCACGTTATACATGATTCATATGTAGACTGAAGAAAGACGTAAAGATCACACTAGCTCATGTATGATTCACTCGAGTGACATTTTTTTCGAACGGAAAGACTAACATCTAGTACGGATAAATAATATATTTGTATCTGCATTTTCTTTTGGCTTAAGTATGAATTTTAAAATACTGGGTGCTTCGAATTAGAGCATTTTTTGTTATAATTGGTTTAATAAATAAATTGAGAACAAATTACTTTTTCTCACTGCTGGATATTTTTGTATGAATTGGATCTAATTGAGATTGATGGGTGGTATAAAACAAAACAGCCGATAACGTAACCGTTTCATTATAAAACTAGTACTGAATAGCCTATTCATTGTAATTTCGAAGCAGAGTCCACCTTAAATTATCAATTGAAAATGTAGGTGTGGATGTGAGCGAGTGCAAAATTCACATCCACCCTCAAGCTGCTCTTATTTTTAGGTTTCCGGAGAAGTTATTAGCAATATGAAATTCAGAACAAAATCTTTTTCATTTATTCCATTTTGAGATAGTTGAAGGAGGAGATGATCGAAATTTGACAAGAATATATATATATTCAGTAGTACAAAGCTTTTCTTAGCTGCGATAATTATTCACTATTGTTTAGTTTTATTCTTCATATAATTAAGAAAACTTCTAATGTATTTAATAGTATTTTATGCTTGAGAGCATCGATCTTCTCAATATTATGGCAAAACATTAAAAATGAGTTCTTATTCAGAGAATTTGACGATGATAATTTAAGTTTCACATTCAATATATTATATTAAAAATTGTGTTGAATAGCATAGCTCAATATTCAAAATAAATCATCAACATTATACTGTGTCACAAGCTTTGTTTTTTCGAATAATTTGGTCACCGGTGTCTCTTGAATAATGAAAAATTCTTTTATATTTTTGAATGTGAAACTATCAAGTGCATTAGAAATCTTTTTTAACTATATGACGAATACCAGATAATTATCACTATTCGGAAAAACTTTGCGCCTTTGAATATATATTCTTGTCGAATTCGATCATCTCCTTGAACTATCTCACAAGAAATAAATAAACAAGGTTTTTGCTCAGACTTCGAATGAGTGTTACTTTCTGTTTTGTTAAGGTATACATTTAAAAAATGATGGTAGTAGGGACAAAAATGAGAATTTTGTCTCATTGTTACCATCTTTATCTTTGCACACTTCTGTATTTACTCTAGAGATTAAATTGCTCATCATTAAAATGCAAGACGATCAAACAAGCGAAAAGATGGTTATGATGGATGTTCCTAATAGAATTGTTTCCATAAAACTCGAATTGGCTAGAGATCATCAGATACAACGAACTCGTAGAATTTTTTCAGTTATACTTGGCGTTCTGATTGTGAGTTTTTGTTTTTTATTTTGATTGTGATTGAATAATAATCAGAGAGACAATATTATTGTCTTTTTAAATCTACATGAATTTAATAAAATTAAATTTTTATAGAAATAGACAAATAGATCAATTTAATTCTGTGTTATTATAATATTTTGAGATACAAATTGAAATATTGTTGAACAATATTTTTTCAAGAAATTTTAGCTCGAATTTTCGAAAGAAAAAATGCATTCATTATTTTATTAGAGAAATCTGATCAAAACGAAGATTGAGCATTTTCGAGCGAATATTTAAGATAATGAGTAATAACAGAAGAGATTTACTCGAATTAATAAAATGTAATCTTGATGTGCGAAAACAAACATAAAAATGAGCTTGTTTCATGCTAATCGAAAGATCCTATCATGGTGAAACAATATTCATATTATTAGAAAACATTTTTAGCATGGATTTATCGCTATTCGATGAATCTATTTGTTACCAATATTATATATTAATATTTTAGGGTCTGGGTGTGTACGTTACGATTGTGTTGTTTTATGCAAGCAACAGTGATATTTGTTTACTTACGGCTAGACGTGTACCAGAGGTTGTTGAATATCTTATGTCAATTATTTTCTGTATCTTTGGATTATTCGTCGCTAATCATTACTCTTCAATTGGTTTACGAGTAGTAAGTATTGTTTCTTTCAAAAAACATATCCGTTCAATGTATCATTTTTGCCTTCGGTTCATTTTTATGAGACATACGAACTACTTTGAAGTATCATGCCTTCATAGAAAAAAAACACAATAATTATTCTGATTAGTTTGAAGTTTTATTGTTTTGAGTTTCTTGAGGCTATTCGATATTTTCTGTTTAAATGATTGATATTCTGCTTAAACTGAATAAGAGAGTAAATTAAAGTACTTGAAATATCTTACATTGAGACGACATTGATTATTCATGGATTTAATGATTCTATTTAAAAGCTTGTCTCAAATCTTACAAAGAAATAAAAATGAAACAATAAGTTATATCTCATTTGTAATAAAATACAATAGGCAAACATATTTTTTCATATTTTTGTTTCTTAAAAAATTTTAAATAAAAATTATTTGTACGTATATTGAAATCGGAATTATGTTCGATAACAAAAAAAAAACTCTCTATGAAATTGATATTTTCCTTTTGTACTTTTAGTTTGCTTGGCTTATCATATTTGAATTGGTTAGCTATGGTTTTATGATTGTAATTTTCTTCATTATTGGTATGACAGCTTCACATACTAGAAATTCAAATGCTTATAGACAGAGCAAAGCCGTCATAAGTTATACGCCACCGAATGCTTTCTTATGCGTCATTATATACATTTTTAATTTAATTTTTGACGTAAATATTTGATTCTCGTTCATATCTGTTGATGTTATACTTCTTTTACCTTTTAGGTCATCATTGTAAGACTTGCCTTCAAATTAGCCAAACTTATTGAAATCAAAAAATCTTCAACCCTTCAACAAATATAATCTTTTGAAAACCTAATCATATTAACTTGTATTCTTTTTTGTCTATAGTTTTTCACTTGCTATTTCATTCTCGCTTAAAAATTCTATAATAAATGTCAAACATCTTTTCTTTATAGATAATTTTCCGGAATACAATAATATCCGCTGAGTCATGCAGTATTGGAGCAATGACTATGCAACTGAAAGATAGATACAGAGAGTATTATCGAAAAACGTTTATAAGAGGCTAAAGAATCAATGTAATTCATTAAAGAACCCAGCATTTATGATCACATTATTGAAAATGACCAGTTCGATGTTGCTTACAACAAGCTCAAAGAAATTCTTGGCTTGGAATTGATGGAATTGGTAGGGATTGGAACTGGAATTGATTGGAATTGGTTAGAATTGGTCTATAGTCAGCATGATATTATCTGGAGTTGGCTATAATTAGGCTGAAATTGCGTAGAATTGACTAGAATTCGGTCGTTACCTAGAATTCTTATAGAATCCTAGGAATTGGTCTTAAACTGGCTCAAATCGCCTACAATTCCTAGGATTCCAGAAGAATTGTAGCCAGCTTAAGCGAATCCGAGCCAGTTTCAGACCGCTTCCATACCAATGTCTAGGATTCCATACGAATTTTAGGTAACTCGAGCCATATTCCTACCAATTCCAATACCAATTCCAACCAATCTAAGAATTGGAATTGATGCATCCCTAATTCTTAGCATAATAATTTTTAAAAAAAATATGAAAAGCAGTTTCATTATGATCATACCCTTTGTATTCAGGAAATCGAAACCAGCTACCAACGATAGCAACTAGATATTCGTTCTGTTTGAACATCACATATTGTTTTTTTTGTAGATATTTCAAAAATTCCATATTGCTCGGGAAAATATGTGAAGTGTGAGCTAATAAAACATTGAACGGATAATTTGATCTAAAAACGCAGAAACATTCTGCTAGTGATTTTAGATAACACCAGTAGTAAGGATAACACGAATATAGAAACGACTCGATGAAGTGAATACGATAGGACAGCGACAAATAAAGAAAGCGACGAAGAGAACAGAAAAAGGGTGAGTATAACTGTGGGTGTAGGTGTTTAGGTCTGGATCTGGGTGCATTTTTTGTCTTTTCAAATGCCCACATTCATGAGGGGCTACCGAGACTTATTTTTTCTACGGGATTTATTTATTTTTTCTGGATATATTAATTATGATGATATTTTAGCACACTCTCACCCCCAAAAATTCCAATCGAATCATCTTGAAACTGATGATAATATTAAATATAACTATTTACCAAAAGCTGAATAAACCAAACATGACATTTGACTTGACAATGATGATTAATAAATGTTTGCGATTTGATTATTTTTGAATATTTGTAATTCATTCAAAATATTGAATAGTGATGTTTATAATGTATCAATTGAAGTGTTGAAAAATAGTTTGTAATTTAACTTTTGAATCTCATTTTTTTTTTGTATTATGGCAATATGATACTCTTTGATCGACTATTATATCAATAACTATTTCTTGCAACCCATATTTCATGAGCGATGCTTTGTGTGTGTTTTTTTTTGTCCTCTATAGAAACTTATGAAAAACAAATACTATTGT